AGAAATTTGGGCCTTATTATTCCTGGAGGAGTTTGTATTTTTTGCTGTGGTGTTAGATTACCTTACCCTTTTTATTACCACCTGCACTGCAAGGCTAGTTTTGCTGAGGTTATTTTTTTTAAGCAGCATCCCATGATACCCTTAATTCTGTGTTTCCTGTGCTTTTGCTTCATATGCAATTTTAAGACATTTTCCTAAGAAATAGATTTTTTCTATATTGTATAGCAGTAAATTAGCTAGTATTTGTAGTATATAACTTTAACCCTTTAATTTTGGAGGACAAATGCAATTGTTTTACAATAATTTAACTAAGAAAAGATTTCACCTTAGCATCCTTCAGTGTATAGGGAGAAAGATGGTGTCAAAGATTACATATTTTTGTTTAACATGATGTCATAAATATGCTGTCCTTTTGCACAGGATTTTTATTTTGATACCTGACTTTGCTTGTGTATTTTAGCCAAATATTTTCAGCTGACTTCTTTGTGCCACCAATGCCATTGACTGCGGTAGCTTTGAAAATAGTTTTTCTTCATTAATGGCTTCTGGTGAATTGTTGGGAGAACAAAGCACTGTCCCTAGTGGCTCCTGAAACTTATGGAAGCATGCAATGAAAAAGCTATTATTTTTCATGAAAAAAAAAAACATTAGAGTAGTACTTTTAATAGCTTTACACAAGCATGAACAACTTGAACTATAGAGATGAAATTGAAGTTTCTTGGGTTGTTTTTCAGCCTCAAAATATTGTTCATGTTTGTCGATCTTCAAAACTGAGAAGCCCCTTCCATGTGCTTGTCCACCCAAGCATGGTGAAACAATAAATACAGAAACGCAGTTTTTCTGGGCTCTCCACACATGAAGGCACTGGGTAACAGGATCACTTTTCAAAAGACAAGTTGACCTGCATTAAGTCTTTGAAGTCATTCAAAAGCTGAAGTGTTTTGTGCTATTTCAGAATTTATGAAATTTATGAGAATTTATGGGGACCTCAGATTGTGGGGTACCAGTTTGTTGGGATGGGAGGCAGAAGAGGAGCAGGTGTTCTTCCACCATCCTGTGGGTGTTTGCTGCCTCACTGGTGGCCCTAGGCAGGACTCAGTGCTCTCAAAAATCCTTAGAAGTAGCTTGGTTTATAAGCCTGAAACTCATTTCAAGAAGCACAGTACCAAGAAGGATAGAAGCCCTCTCTTTAGTATCTTCAAGTGCTGTTGATTGATCAGCATGCAGATCAGAAATAGGATTTCTTTTAGTTATGACTGACAGTTTTGTCTGTGGGAATTTCCCCACATAGACCTTAAATGGCAGGTCACTTGTGTATGAAAATAACCCAAAGCATATCTATGTGATTTCCATAAGCCTGAACAAGAAGGCAGCCTGTAGAAGAAAAGGCACACTGTGAGGCAGAGTGAGGGCTTTGAAGTGAAATCACATTTTCTCTTGGTTGTAGAAAGCAGTGAGAAAGCACAATTCCTTATCGTTGTCATGTGATGCCAAATCTGATTTGACTGGGTTTTTCAGCCAGTTGTACAATGAACAGTGGGATATGGTCTAATGTTTTCCAGATCTTTTTGGAATAATGCAGATGTGCATCTATAGCAAAGTTAAAATTGAAAATACAGATGAAATATCTGAAACCAACCTATCAAGGATTTTGTACTTTCCTATTAATTTGGCAGCATGCCATTATTATAGTGTAAATTTCTTCCTCATTACTACAGAATAACAAAATGTCTTTGACCATAATTTTTTCCCTCCTGAGGTGGTTGTTATTATCTGTAATTTCCACTAAGTTTTCCTGTTAGTAGTGCTTGATTCTCTGTACACTGACATTACTAGTTGCTACACACCTCCAGAAAGAGAATATTTCATGTAAATATTTTATAATGCCTGTTCCATGTTTTTCTTTTTTCTTAATTAATATGGCTAAGACATGTTGTAGCTGAGGCTGAAGAATCATATTTACCTTTGCAATCATCTTACTTTGTGTTAGGCAGAGTGCTCATATTTGTCAATATATTTCAGTGTAGTTCTGAAGTGAATATATTATTTGAAACATAGAGTATTTCTGGCATGAGTTATTGAGTTATGAAATAAAAAATGCTACACAGACCAGAGGTCATCTCTATTAATGTGTTTAATGAAGTATGATAGGAAAAAGAGGTTATTATTAAAGTTTTGGGTGGTTTGGTGTTTGGGTTTTGATTTTGTTAGTGCTGTTCTCCCCCTTCCCACCTCCCCACTTTCATTCTTTTGTGTCATCAGTCACTGAAGTATATCAAATGCTAATTTTTACTTTTCCATCTAAGCCTGTCTGGAGTAGTCAATCATTTTTTTCTTGTGCCACCTTTATAAGGGAAGTATGCATGTCTACTTGTTCCATTCTGGCAGATGTCTTCCATTTTCCTTGTCATATGTCAGGATTGGTTGTGATAGAATTGATTTTTCTCCATTAAGAATTCAATTTTTTTCAATTATTCTTTCATCCTTCTGGAGCTTCTTTGCTTATAAAGGTTGGACACAGATGTGTGGAATCAGGAAACTACTGATAGACCATCTTAATCATAGCTGTATTTGCATTAAGAGCACCCTTCCAACATGAGAGGGGTTATAGATGGGGAGCTGGGACCTGCTGTGTGATCACAGCTGCTCTGACACATGGAATGCTGATTTTTGGGTATTTTAGAAATGGCAAACCTGTGCTTCTACTTCCCTGGCAGAGGTGATGGTTTCCTTCTGCAGGTCCCATTGCTTGGCTGTGCTCTGAGCTGGACTTATGCTAAAGAAAATGAGTTTGAGGAAGAAGAGGTCAGATTGTGGAGTTGAGAGAGCAGCTGAGCCTTGCACAGACACTGCTCCAAGGAAAGTGCTGAACTGGTGGGGACAGCAAAGACCTCAGGGGTGGAAGTGATTCATCAGCCACCAAGTGAATGCTTGCATGGACTTGAGTCCTTGTCCACTATTCCTAAGGACTTCTTCCTCTGTAAAGAATCATGGAGAAAGTGCTAGTCCTAAGCATCTGTGCTGTTTTTATGTTGCTGTCTCAGGAAGTGCTAAGGCTGGTAAAGATTGTGGTGATTCTGCTTATAAAAATACTCTTGAGGCATATATATGCATATATAATACTCTTCAATGCATACTTGTTTACTTATCCTGCTTGGTTTGGAAGAACATTTAGTAATTAGGTTAAAACAATTAAATTGGTTATTATGAACACAGGATAGATTTCAAACATTCTTTCTTCCCTTTAATGTTACAAAATATTATTCTTGCAGTAGCACCTTGGAGTCTGTTGAGCAGAGATTTTGGATAAGTTAAAAAACAAAAGTTCAGCTGAGGTAGAATAAGAAGCCTTGGTGTCTTGGGACAGAGAATGTGCAATGTGCTTACAGCTGGTGGCTTGGCATCCATGGTCTTTTCAAGAAACAATTTTAGAAAATTTCATTGAAAATGCAGTATCACATCATTCTGTAGTTATCTTTTGCTAATATAAAGTACTACAAAAAACCATTTTGAAAACCAGTGACAATGTGTCCAGGATGGGCATGGAATATTGCAAGGAACTGCTTATCCACTTGAACTGCTGTGCCACCTGAACGTGAACTCTGGTATAGAACTCAAAATGGACAATCAGGTTTTTAACACTTAGCAGAAGTCAGTTTTCATCCATTTGAAGATGTTATCTGCCTCCCCACTTGGGGATGCCTTACTTTAGGAAATACTCATAAACACCTCATAAAACCAGTTGTGGCCTTAAGGTAGAGAGGACTGCCATTGTTTCCATGGTGGCTCCCAAGAGCATGGTGGGGTGGGGAGTTTCCCCTTCTCTCCCTGTGTTGCAGCAGGCTCTGCGTGGTCCGTGGGAGCACTGAGTGCCATGGCTTGCTCACATGTGAGCCTGGAGGAAGCTACACAGCACCTGCTGTGACCAGGTGATGTGAATCTCTTAAAAACCCACCCCCCCATTGCCCTTTCAAACCTGCTCTCCTTTAACTGCTTCAAACGTGCTGCAGGGCACAGCTCTAAGTTTGAACTAGTTAAATCTGAATAAAATCTGAAATAAATCTTAAACAATGTTCATACAGATTCATCCTTTATTAGCTATGTAAGTATTTTTTTAGCCTTTATACTTGAGCTTATTTTTTGAGTTGATGTTATAATTTATGTGAAGATTATTTCTTCTAGTTGAACTCCATAGCTGCTGCCGAATGAGGGCTTTACTCTAGTGAATATGTTCATGCATACACTACTTCCTTTATTATTTTCTATTCTTTTTCTCAAACTTCTGCTATAATTACAGTAAATGATTTCTTGGATTGCATGTTGAGAGGGTAGAACTGCTGTGCCAGCAGCCTTGTTTTATTCTTTTGCTGGCTCCTGAAGGTAATAAGATCTATCTGCTCTACGAATTTTCTTGCATACTTAGCTGCAATTGCAACCTTTAGTAATTATTTTTTTTAATTAGCTCCAAAATTTTGCATGAATAATGCAAAATTTAAAAAAAAAATGGAAAAATTTAAAAAGCTCAGAAGTAGTTATTTTTTATATTTCAAAACAGTAAGCATTATTTGTTGGAATTTTTATATAAGGCATTAGTAGCATGGTGACATTAAATGATCTGCACAGTTGTAGAAGTATCAGAGGTATGTTGTAAAAGAGGGTTTGGCATTTAGATGGGGATCAAATTATTTTCATAATTTGTCATGACAATTTCTTAGAGCCTTCAGTAAGATCCTTTTCTAATACTAAAACTTTTATTCTACTTTACATTTTCTGGATGTTTGCTTTTAAATTCACAGAAGTTGGTTAAAAAATACGCTTTTGTGATACTCACTGACTAATTCTATCAAAAGAAAAACATGCGTATATTTAGATATCAACTTACAAGATCAGTTGGTCTGGGCTATGGATGTAAAAATGGGCAGTAAAAGTTTATTACTGTGAGTGAAGACAACATAAAAAGTGGTTTTTAATAAATTCCATGTTCTGGGCTTGTTTTGTAGTGGATGGCTGCATACACCGAGCTGCTGGGCCCTGCTTAGTTGCCGAGTGTCGCAACCTGAGTGGCTGTGAGACTGGACAGGCCAAAATTACCTGCGGATACGACCTACCTGCAAAATGTGAGTCAAGCCTTTCTCAGCATTCTTGTTTCCAGCATGTGCTGCTGGTGTGCATGGTTCATTTCCCTGCAGTCTAATTCAACAGGGTATTCATTTTACGGAATTAGCAGCGGGACTTAATTAAGCATATTCTGTAATAATGTCTTCCCCTCAAAGCAATTCAGGCTTTTCTAAATGATTATTTCACCTATGTTCTGCGATGAAAACTTACATGTCTCTAAAATATAAAGCATCTTTCATGTTTATTTTTTGCAAGCTAAAACCTATCCTGTCATATGCATAATAAAGGATTGGAAATGCTTTATGAAATATGAACAAAATATACATTATCATATTTAAGTTCCGTGGAGACAGTTTTTTGAAATGTTGCATATTTGATATTTTTCATGCAGATTCTTTGATTGTGAATACTTTGAGGGCCCAGGAGATCAAAGTGATGTATTGTGTTTTCAGCTGCTGTGTAGTGTCTGATTGGCAATTACTGTGAAGGCATCTGTCACACTTTAGCTTTCACCAGAGTGCAGCTGAGTGCTGGAATGTTTTTGCACTTTGAAGGTGGAATTGTCAAAAATTTTCCTCCTATTTCAAGTAGGAAGATGGTTATTTGACTGTGTTGTGTAGATGTTGAGCTTGTCTTACAGAACACTAACTGCACATTGGTCAGCCAGTCCATTATATGAAAATATAAAGTAGAAATATTTGCAAATTAGGATCTTATAGAATAGTATATTAAGACATGAAGATACAAATACTGAAAAGCATTGCAGACTTCATATAACTAGATTTCAACTAGCTTTTTTTTAAAAATTATTATTTTTTTAAAGTCAGATATGGGAAACTTGTATTTCTTTGAGATATGCAGGCTGCAGCAGGAACATGGCTCATAAAACAATATCTAGAACTCTCTTAACTCTCATGTAAAATCAAATGCTGGCTGCAGTAGCAGGTATTTCTCTAGGCTCCTGTAGTCCTTAATGTCTTAGATAGGTATGAAAATTGTTTTCCCAGTCATTTTTTTACTCTTTTTATGATGGTGGTCATGAGAACTTCCAGTTATTTCCTTGGCAGTGGTAATTTCTATTTGTGGGAAAACTTTTCTGTGTTTTATACGTTGTTTTACCACATGATAATGGTCATTTATGAAAGGCTAATTTGACTAGAGGTCAGGGAAATTGTTGAGGAAGGTTCAGTGTGGTGGTTAGCTTGGGTTTGTACATGGCTCAAAGCATCACCGGATCCCCATAAAAGGGATTGTTGGATGACACATTGTAATTTACTCTTCTGGGGATGTTTGATGTTCTCCCTGTTTAACCAAAAAGTATCTCTGGAGGGACAGAAAAGCTGCTCATCAGTAGGTGAAAATTCCTCTCATGTATTTTAGTGACAGAAATTAAATCCAAAGTATCAAGGCAACTGATGTGTGTTGGAAAGAGGAAAGGTCAGGCCTGAGGTGTGACCTCCCTTTAAATCTTGCAGCAGTTCAAGGGGCTGCTTAAGTTAGGTTTGAAAAATGAGATCCTATTTGAAGGCTATAGGAAAATCTTAGTTCTTTGTGTAAGCATAATAAACAAAACAATTAGGAAACTCATTATCACTTGAAGCTGGAAATAAAACCTGTAACCAGGCATGGGGAAAAGCCAATATTCTTAATCAGTATTCTTAGAAGTTGAAACTGCATTAAAGCCACGTCTATTTGTATTTGATCATGCATCAACATGAGGAGGGGACAGGATACCTTTAACATCAACAGACACAGGGAGGGAAACATTCAATTTTCATGCAGAGGCTGAGAATTTTAAACTCTTGATTACTTAATTTTTTTTCCCTGAAAATATATTTGTGTTCTCACTAACAATTGTTTTCTTTTACTTTTGCCTTTATAAGCTTTAGTTTGTAGGCTCATTAAATTATTGTACCTTTTAAACCATTCACGTGAAAGTGATCAAACAGTCAAGACTGGTTTCATATTTTAGAGAGCTATAAAGCTACTGAATATCTTGTGTCACTCTCTGTCACTTTGTCTTAATAGTATGACAGTTTAACTGTGGGAACTATTTTGCATTTGACTTTCCTGAGGAAGCAGTGCTCTGAAAGGAGGTCCAGACTTTCCCATCCAGATCTGCTGTGAGGCAAGGTGGTGTGCCAGCAATTTGCTGAAGGTTAAGGTTGACTGTTAACTTCCAACTTTCACAAGCAGTTTGCTTTTTATTGATCTGTTTGTGGGTAGGGAAACAATCACAATAATCAGTTAACAGTTTTTTGAGTAGTGAATTATTTATTCTGTTGTCTACTGTTGACTGTAGTTGGACAAACATAGTAAATGTAAAATGCATTTCTTAGCATGATGAATTGTCGTGTTTGGGTGTTTGTTGTGTTTTTGTTATTTAACAGAATTCTAAAATGTTACAATTTTGTTTCCTACCCCTGGGGTTTTCCCATTTCAAGTTCTTGATCCTGAAAAGCTTTGCTTGGAAACAGTTTGCTGAATTCAGCAAAGCTGCTCTGGGACACAGCAGCCTGTGTGTGCTGTCTGATGCAGGACTTGGGCTTCAGCAAGAACTCCGTATTAAAAAAGGTTTAGTATTCAAAAATCATGCAGCATATTGCTTTGTTTTATCAATGACTTGGAGGAAGCTGAGATTAAGTTTGGTACTGAAGGGAAGGTATGCTTTGTTAGGAAGGTAGTAGTTGGTAAATAAAAACCACTCTGGCCATCTCCTTTATGATCTATTGTATTTTTATTGAGTACTTTGCTATATTTACTTAGATAAAACAAAAACAGGTCTGACAAATAACTTCATAGTGGAAAAATTGAAAAATAATATCTGACTGAAAAGTGCAAAGATTTAGTATATAGGCTGGCTTTCTGTGATTTGTTCTTGGTGTATCTGAGTCAGAAATCAGTTTGTGAAGAACACAAGTAACAGCAAATGTTCAGAGAGAGAATACATACAATTGTTCATAATTTTCTTCAGCGCTTTATTGTAATAATGTGAACAGACCAAGATTAATATGTCTGTGGCCTGGAGATGTTTCTTTATAAACTTTTCAAGACATACACTTTGTTATGCCAAAACATATTCTGTTTGAAAATAGAAAGGAAGTCAAACTGACTTTTCTAATTACCAGTTAACATAACATTCAGTACAGTTTTACAGAAATCAGTGTAATCACCATCTGCCTCCTGTGCTGCAAAAGCCTACACAAAGCCCCCCCAAATGCCAACCAAGTTATTTGCTGAATACATAATTTGGTTGATGTCATCTATTGTTGTTTTTCAGCAAACACCTATGTAGACACCCAAGTTTCCATAGTGCTCTGGAGGGCTGAAAAAGGCAGTGCCTTTTGCTCTGAGATAGTTTCCTTTAACGCTGTCCCAGACTGATCATCAGTTATTTAACTTCTGTACTTCATATTGTTGTTCCTTTTAAAGAACAGTTCATTCTAAATATTGTACAGCTGATCTTCAAACATTGAGCAGTACTCTGATACTGACATGCTTTAAATAACAGATGAACAGTATCTGTTTAAAGCTCTGCTAATGCTTGTTTTCTTTCTCATTTGATTAATAGTCTCAGTTGGCTCTACTGGCAGAAAATGGTCTGGATGTAAATTGTGTTTATGGCTGGAACGAGGGGTCCATAACAGCTTTGTGGATTGTTATCTACTTGCAGAGGTTCACTATAAAAAAAGACCCTGTCAGGACACATTAGAAAATAGAGTCCCATTCCGCCTGGTATTTAACAGGCCTAAAAACAATTGAAAACCAAAGATACACAGGCATGTGGTACCCTGACCTAGGCAGGAAAGGACTCCCAAACAAACTTTTTTCTATTACTATCAAATCTAGTAACAATTCCTTTCTTTTTCTGAAAAATGTCTGATAGTAAACCTCCTAAATCTAGGAAAATAAAATCTTACAGCCTCTAATATGGGATAGAACCAACCATCAGTAAATCTGAAAGGTGGACTTCTGGTGGAGACACCTTGCTAAGCAGTTTCTAATACAATGGTTTATGTTCATAATAAATCTATAATATTTAGAAAAATTATTTCTGTTTGCTTGACATTTTTAGTACTTTAAGCACAGTCTCTGAGTAAATAGCATATATAGCAAGTCTTCTGGTCTAAGATCAGCCTGGAGTAATAATGTGAATGTGCTCTCAGAGACAGTTCCTGCTGTGAAATAAGTAGTTAGGAGAAGTGCTAGTATTAAACGCAGTAGGAGGAATCATCTTTTAAATTTGTTTAATCAGATTAAAAAGTGGAGATTAAAAAGTAGAGATTAAAAAGTGTGCTTCTGTTATGTAGACATAATTTCCAGTCTTTAAAAGATGAATATTTGCAGAGTATTATTTTAAAGTAAGGCTGTAATGGTACTGATTTTTAGATCTCCTAATTTTCTCAGAGATAAGTCGCAGAGCTGTAATTAAAAGGTTGATTTATGCAGAAATGGAACTCCAAAACTGTACTGCACTACAAAACTGACCAGTTGGAAGCATGGGGCATAATGTTCAAGGATATTTTTCAGACTTCCAGTATTCCACAAAGAAATTTGTTTATATATTTTGATTACCTTGTTTATAAAACAATACATTTTTGTTTCAAATTATTCTAAATTTCTGATATGTGAGGCTTGAAGAGTTGCTCTCTTCTGCATGATTCTGATGGTTGTTCAGTTTGCTACCTCCCTATTTATTCTGGTAAAAGGTAAGTCTGGGAATTGAAAAATATGTCTGGAAATTAGATAGGGAGGTGTAAATGTGAACAATATGTGGACAAGACAGGATTGCTTAGAGAAGACTGACTTGATTTTTAGGTCAAGAATCTTGGCCTAACTCTCAGTTGGTCAAGATTCTTGATCTTCTCCCACAACTGATTCATAATTGACTGAATTTTGATGAAATTTCAGTTAAAAAGGTACAGCTTAAGGTGCCACAATCATTAATAGCATATAAAAGACATATATATATATATATATTATATATGTGTATATATAT